ATAAATATAGTACTTTAACTAAGCTGTGAATGTCACATCAAGTTGTCCAGTGCCTCATCGGCTTTGTAAGCCACACACAGTTAACACCACCATGATGCAAGTGGGTTTATTTATGTTAGTTTTTTTTAGTGTCGGTTTTAAAAAAAGCAATTATTATGATAACCTACTTGTTTATGTACCATCAACTTAATATAAAACTTACGAAATGGGGTCAACTTTTCATCAATGCTTTAGAATGTTTTCGTTAGTGTTTGATTATTTTTTGAATTAATATATGGTATCTGATCTATTGATCGACTAATCCAGATTATACTACAAAGACAATGACGACATTTCCAACTCATTTTATCCCATTCGCAAATGAGTATTGTGATTTTCAAGAGTCTTAAAGGTATAATATAAAAATGTTTAATATTCGATTAAATAGTTGTTTTAACTTTAACTTTTTTTTTAGAAAAATTTTGGCCTATAACATAACAGTTAATACTATAAAATAAGAGGGTTTTTATCTTAAAATAAAGTGTTGAGGGTTAAAATGTTCAAAAAAGAATAAGAGTCAAGTGACTGCGGTCGGTTAATGTTTGAGGTTTTTGGGCCTTAAAATAAAACGTTGAGGGCTAAAAACTCCAAAACATAAAGACCAAAATGATTATTTTAATAAACGTTATGTGCTAATTTTGACATTATGTCAACCCTTAATAGTATTGTGCAAAATTAAAGAAATGATTCCTTCACCAATCACATGTTAATTTATCGAGATGAAATTTTAGGATTTGTTTGGAATATTTTTCTAAATGAGCTTTTTCAACAAGTTTTTCAAACTTAAAAGTATCGTTTTTCAGTTTCTTGGTTCGAGTTATAATCATTTTTCAATGTATTTTTTTGTTGGAAAATGAGGTGTTTGAGATTACTTTTGCGCTTTAAAAGGATTTTAGGTCAGAAGCATCCCATAAGCATTCTTAAACGGTACAAATCTCTTAAATAGATTAAATGTTTGAATTTTGATGTTGTGAATGAATAAATTAAATTGAGAGAACCGTCTTATAAAATTACGTAATACTCAATTTGAATTAACCAATAAATAAGTTAAATATCGATGATTACAAAAAATTTATTGATTCAAAAGACCAGTTTGGTATTGCTCTTGAAAAATAACTTTTAAAAGTGTTGTAGAAAATAACTTTTAAAATTATACTTTTAAAAGTGCAGTTTAAAGTTATCTGTTTGAGATTGCAAATAAAAAGTTATTTTGAAAAAGATAAAATATCAATTTTAGACATATTATAATTAAAATATAAACATTTAAATTATATTTACATTTATTAATACTATGATATATAAAATATAACTCAAACTATAAAAAAATATTTTTAGATAATTCATCATAATATTTTTATGTACGAAATATTTTATTAAAAATATTATCAATACTTTTTAAAATTTAAAATTTAAAATAGTATTTTAATTATCTCAATTTTACCATAATCAATTCATTTATATTTAAAATAAAATAATTTAAATAATATATTTATCATTTTAAACCATTCAAAAAATTATATTATAAGTAAATTTAAAATAATTATATATGAAATATGTGAATTTAAACTGTAATAAAATATAAAAAGTATAATAATAATAAAAGTATATTTATAATAACTCACTATTAGTATTTTAATATATAAATCATAAATTTTTATTTATTTTTAATTAATTAAATAAATTATTAAAAATAAATTACTTTTAAAGATGTTGATATTGAATTATTCAAATAAAACGTAAGAAAATTGAATTTCAAAGTTTTTCCATGGCAATAAGGATAAAAATATAAATTTGTTTCCAAACAGAAAATTGAAAATGAAAAAAAGCTAGAAATTTTAATTTTACGGCTGATTTGAAACCATCGTTTTCACTATATTTATTTTTAATTTTTACCCGTTTAATATTAATTTTACGGTCAAAACATATTTTTTAGTTAAGAGTACTTTTAGGCAACATTACCAAATGGACCCTAAGTCATTCGAATAGAAAATTCAACTTGGGGGCCTACGGTTTAAAAAAGAACCGCGAGCCGGAGGTTGGGCTACAGGCCATTTAAGAGGGTGGGCCATCTCATTCAATTGGGCATGTCTTTGCCAGTTTGCCTGACTTCGTCATTTACTCCGATCGTACAGAGATGGGCATGGGTCGGGTTTTTGGTCCACCCGACCTGACCCGAGAACAAGGGATTATCCACCCGACCAAAACAAGATTTCACTTGACCCGAACCCGACCGACCCGACCCGAAATAACAATAAAAATATTATTTGCATTCATTAAAAACAATGACTTAATTAAAATATATATATATAGAAAAGGGTATTATTGTAATTATTCTTAAATATATAAGGTAAAATTATATATTTTTTGTGTTGGGTCGGGTATTTTCACCCTAAACTGAACCCGACCGAACATCACACTTAAAAAAAGCCGACCCAAACCCACATTTTAAAAAAAATCCAACCCGGTCGGGTCGGGTCGGAACCCGTCGGGTTCAGGTCCCTTTTCCATCCTTAATCGTACTATTACTACTGCTATTAGCAAAACCCTACCCTACCAAATAATTAGGAATTCGGGCACGAACCAAATTATCTCTGTAGTTGAAGAAATCGATGTTGTTCCTAAAGGTTACAAGTTCGAGCACCAGCAGGGATGAACCGAGGGGGAAAGATGGGGGCAGTTGCCCCGTGAAATTTAAAATTACTATAAATTAAAAAAAAATTCTATGTATTTCCAATTGAAAATCTATTTCATCCTCTTCTAGAATTTTAGTTCGCTCTCCTTGATTTTTAAGTGATCTCTCTTAAGTTTAAGTTTGTCTGTAACATAAAATTTCGCGTCCGTCCCTGAGCACCAACAGCTATACCAAGGTGCTTGAGTTTTCATTGTCAAATGGTTGAAAGTATTTAGAACGAATACCATTGTAATCACCTTAACTTCATAAAAAAAATAGAAATTCGGGTTCAAGCACCAATATCTGTAGCAAGGTGCTTGAACGTTCATTATTAAATGGTTGAGAGTATTTAAGCTTTTTTTTTGTTATCACTCAAGTTTACATACATTCTTTTAAAAAATGAAATAGACTCAATATTTTAAGTTTTGTAGGATGAAGTCGGATTTAAAAAGACATTTACATCAGTAGTAAAATTGAATAAAGTTTTTAACGTAAGTAGTTACGTTTGCAGAATATGTATATATTATTAACTATTAAAAAAGATTTTAAACAAATACACCTTATAATTACTTGGTTTATTAAAAATATATATTTTGTGGGACGAATGGATGGGAAATTAAAGGGTAAATAAAATTGATGATTCATTTCTCTTCTGCCTATCTTATTGTTGTCACTTATATTAAAAAAAATTATATTAAGATCATTTTTGTTTTTGATTTGTCTTATTTTGGTCATTGAGCCAATAATTTCCGTTAATTTCTTGATTTTACACATAAGAAAAAATAGTTAAATTTTAATTTGACACTTGAATTTTACACAAAATTTTAATTTAACCCTTTTTATTAGTAATATGAGGTAAGTACAAGGCAATATCTATTCAAAGATAAACTCTCAACATTTCGACATTGATCGCTCACACCCCTATCATATGTGGTGCTCAAACCCGGGTCCTCAGGAATTACAACAACTCCTTTACCATGGAGGTTCGTGCTCCTAATTTAACCCTAAACTTATATAAAATACTATTTTAATCCTTAAAACTAAAATAAAATATCAATTTGATCTTAAATCCTGTCAAAACCCTCATCTTTCGATCACCCATGACCCAAACCTCTTCTCTCTATTAAAGTTTCACTTTTAATCGCCTCAACTCTCATTTTTTAATTTTTAGATCCAACTGTCCTAGTATCGTATAATCAAATATGATACAGTGACGCGGACATATGCAAGTCAAACCAAATATGGTAATTGATGCTACTAAAGCAATTTCATGATAGACATAATCGGTAAAACTAGAAAATCTCTGCTGAAAGATTCGCCCACCAAACTAGAAAGATATAAGGATACATAAGCTATGCTCCCATTTTAGTTCAACTAGCTCAAGCACTAACAGTTAACAGTGACGAATTCATAAATATTTTTCAAGGTAGAGCATATGTTAATAACACAAAATTTTTAAATAAAATTTTATGATAGACATTATCGGTAAAATAAATTACTAAACTAAATTTTTTTTGAATTTTAAGATGAACATGTGCAATTGTAGCATATAGCGGATGATACAACGAGGGAAGGAATTGAGGCAGTTAAAATAAGAAGAGTTGGAACAAGATTTAAATATATTTGGTAAAACTTCCAGTTGATCACTGTTCTTTATAGAACTTTAGAATATGGAAAACATTTTTCAATATTTTCAAATTGGACACTAAAATTAATTTAAGGATTTGAAAAAATTCTCAAATGTTAGGCTTTTAATTAGGGTTAAATTAGGGCGTTACACCAATTTTCTATGAAATATTAACTTTATTTATGATTTTTTATATCTATTTATAATTTTAAATTTTTTTATATACCGTACCATTACTGTCCCCGTACCTTGTAATTTTAAAAATTATCGTTTCCCGTCCTTGTATCCGTATAAGTGTAACATAAATACTAAATTAGTGTTCTATTTGAAGTTTAGAATTGAACCGATATTTTGTGTTGAATTCAAGAGATTTGACTAATGAGAATTAACGATCCAATAACTAAAATAAAATAGATAAAAAAATTATAATATAACTTTTTTCAATAAGATTCAAATCTGTTGTGTATAGAACTTGAAAATTCCCCCTTAGATAAAATGATAAGCCATGGCCAACGGTCTGCTAATCACATGGCGCCGATCAAATTATTTTGAAAACGAAAACCCCATTTGTCCTCTTTCCCCCACTTCTTCTTCCCCAAGGGTTCCACCTTTTAAATACCATCTTCACCCCCTCTGAATCTCGGAGCTTTCTAAATTCTAAAAATGGGGAATTGTTCTCTCAAAGGAGCCGTCGATGAAACCAATCCCATCAGGGTTTCAACAGACGCCGGCCGAATCATCGATTTCAATGGCCCCAAGCTTGCTCGTGAGATCACAAATGATTTTCCAGGCTATGGTATCTGCAGAAGAGGCCAGGCTTCAACTCCATTGCCTGAAGATGAACGCTTGGTGAATGGTGGGTTTTATCATCTTCTCCCCCTGGACGAGTTTCAGAAAAACGGTGACAAACGAGGCGTCGAGAAAGTTGAAGCGGCTCGTGTCGATCCGACGAAGATGTCCTCCGTTGATTTCGTCGAGAATGTGTCGTCTTTGTCGGCTATGGAAGTGTTGTCGTCGGAGAAGTATGGGGTCTGGAAAGTGAAGTTGGTGATCGGCAGTCAGCAACTGGAGGATATTCTGTCGCAGCAAGTGAACACCGAGGCGTTGATCGAGAAGATGAGGATGGCGGCGGAAGCGGACTCAGGTGTCGCGACTCCACGGCGGAGCAAGTGGTTTTGGTTTTGGTTTTGAAGAAGCCAGCCAGGTCAAGTTTGTTTAAGGTGGCAGAAAAAAATGCGTTGTAGCTTAAGCATGTTATTTACGGGCAACTTTTTTAATCTTGTTTGTTTCATGGGTAAACTACGCATTTAGTATTTAAACTATCAGTTTTGATCCATTTTTAGTACTTAAACTTTTAATTTTTTTTAAAATCATACCTAATGGTCACTGACGGATGCATGTACATCTCAAGGTGGGCACGTTCCCACCCTAAAATTTTATTGTGTCCACCTTAAAATTCAAATTCTTTATATTAATTGTCCAATTTACTGAAGGCGTCCACCCTGAAAATTTATTTGTGTTTAGCCCATACAAATTTTTTTTATTATTAACACATATGTGTCCACGATGAAAAATATTTCAGGATCCGCCATTGCTAACAGTTAGTTTTTATTTCATTTTAGTACCTCACCGTTAAAAAACTTAACGCGTTTAATACCTAAACTATTAGTTTTGGTCCATTTTAGTACCTAAACTTTCATTTTTTTTCCAAAAGTAAACATTGAATTTTGAAAAGGGTACTAAATTGAAACAAAAACTAAACTTTAGGTATGTCTTTGAAAAAATTAAAAGTTTAGATACTAAAACGGAATAAAATTGATAGTTTAGATACTAAACATATAATTTACCCTTGTTTTATTTACCGTTTGTATTTGAATATTCAACATTGTTTAAGGATCTTACACCTCATTTAATTGGACTAATTGATAATAGAGGACTAAAGATCATTTTAGCCTTTGTATATACTATAAAAGGTATAACGATAAAAAAATATCTCTAACGTTTGATTAAATAGTTTTGTTAGTTTCTATTCTTTTAACCTTTTTACTCACAATGTTTTATTTTTGGGCAAAAAGATCTCTCTATGGCTGGAAACAATTAGTTAACAAATGATCAACCTAAAAAATAGAGACCTTTTTGCCTTAAAATGAAATGTTGGGGGGCTAAAATGCTAAAGTGATTATTTAGTTAAATGTTAGGAATCTTTTTCTTTAAAATGAAACATCGAGGGTCAAAATTTTAAAAAAACAAATAGTGATCAAAATGATTATTTTATCAAACATTGTGAACGTTTTGATTTTATGACTGAAATCAAACGAACTCAATAGTTAAGGGATTGTCATTATCCCTTGAGGTCCCGGATCGTTCATTGTCAAATAATCATAAGTTTTTAAACAAACACAAACTTGTATTCACCCTATATTTCAACGACAATGACGATGGATGGATGATTATTCAACGATGGTAGTAGAAGCAATGGTGATCACAACAGTGGTGGCGATTAACAATGCTTGACGATGGAATATGAAATTAAAGATTTTAGGATTTTAGAGAAATTTAGAGTCTATTATATATATATAAAGTTTTTAAAATAAATTTTTTAAAAATTTATAAACGCGAAACACATTAGATAATGATTTTTAATACTCGTTATGGTATAGACACTTGAAAATGCAAGCTTGAAAATGTTAAACACCTATTTTGAACGAAAAATACTTTAAACATCTAAATTTAACTAAAGATATATATGAATACTATTTTTTTCATGAAGTATTTAAGCTAATATAATATAATATAAAAATAAAATTATAATTTATTTTTTATTATATATTATAAGATTACAGTGTCAAGACGAAGCTCTGGAATCGAGAAGACAACAAAAATTTTAATTAATTAAAAATTTTAAACAATAATTTAATTAATTCATGATTGAAAATGATAATTTTATTGATTTTTAGTATGAATAGAAAAATAAAATGTATATTTAGATTAAAAAAACAATTTTATCTATAATTTATTGAGTTAAACTTAGTGAGTTGAACATATCATACTATCATAGTTCATCAAATTAAAAAAAACCAACAATTAGTTGGTCTAGTGGGATGAGACACTAGATCCCTTAAGTAAGGTTAGGAGTTCGAATCCTGACGTTTGCGAATGGAGTAAACTGGGTTGGGAGGGTTGCCATCGCCTCTGCATTACTCGATCTGGATTAGTCAATCAATAGATCAGATATCAGTGATTAATTAAAAAAAAGAAAAATATTATGAAAAAGTGATTCCACCGAGATTCGAACTTGGGTTACTGGATTCAAAGTCCAATGTCATAGGCTCATAGCCAATAGACCATGGAACCTTGAGCTTCAAATTAACTACTTTACTTTTTCTAAGTTGCTTTCAACATTAATTTAAATGAACAATTGGAAGTAGGGATGACAAACGGATGGCGTAGATGTGGTACTCCTTCTCTTATTCCGATACTTATTTAATATTTTCATATCTATTACTTATTCATCAAATATATAGATAAAATTTTTAAATCGACACCTATCCAAGAGGTTACGTTATCCAATCTACCCTTACACTTGTTATCTAATTGAATAATCACCACCCATATTATACCTGCCTGTACCGACCTTATAGCAACTTCAAATTACATAAACAATGAAATATAAACATTTGGTTAAACTACAAGTCATATCCTATAAATCTTAAGATTTATAGAATAGTTCCTGGAGTTATACTTAAATTCATAATGGTCCAAAATTTATATGATGAGTAATTAATGGACAAGTGAATGTGAGATGGACGGATGCGGGGCGGGTGGATGAAGAGCGAGTAAGGTCTTAAACCCATCACCTAAATAGTACTCACGACAAGTATGACTTTTTACTTTCACATTCATCCAGTTTCCACTAAACTTATATCCATCATCGTCCCAATTAGAATAGATAAATGCAAAATTCATGAAATTATATCCATCTGTCATCTTTAACGAGAAACAATGAAAGAACACAAAAGACTAAAGTGAAAGATGATTGATCATAATAAATAAATAAATGCACCCATCGTTTACTTGTATTATTCTAAATTTTGACACTGTTTTTTAATTCCATCAAGTGACATAAGATTTGGATTGATAATTTTTTTTTGACAAATTTGAAGCAAGCTTTGCTTCTTCATCTTTTTTTATCCATTAACAATATGTTGTTCCACATCATCACCGGCAAACATCGTCGAGCTGTGAAGATGCACAAGGTACCGCCGGCCGTGACGGAATTCGTAGATGTTATTCATGTTATATGTGTCGTTATCTATGCCAAAGTAGGTAAATAAGTATGTCCATATAACTCGACCCAATCATTCAGTCACGAATGGGCTTACGCGGGGTGGTTGTCCCCTAAAAGTTTAAAATTTTATATATTTTATATATTTTCTTTCTATTATATATTAAAAATATGTTTTCATTTTCTTAAAATTTTATAAGTTTATTTCTCCTTCAAAATTTATAAGTTCATTTCTAACCTAAATAATATGTCCGCCCTTCGTACAACGAAAGAGAGATATAAAAAATGTTCTATCAGTGAAATAAAGAGTTGAGATGACTGAAATGAAAATTCCCAAATTCACCTCAAGGATATACTAGGGGTGGGCATAGGTGGGGTTGGGTCGGATTTTTGGTCCACTCGACCCGACCCGAGAACAATGACTCCTCCACCCAAAATCCGACTAGACCCGCATAATATATACCATCCACCCGATCTGAACCAAAATAATAAAAAATATTATTTCTATTCAATAAAAATAATTATTTAATTGAAAAAAATAATATATAAAGGGGTATTATTTTAATTATTTCTAAATATGTAAGGTAAAATTATATTTTTTCGAGTTAGGTCGGGTCAAATATTTTTCACCCTAAACTCGAATCCGACATGACCCAGCCCGATCGAATCCGATTGGGTCAGAACCCGTCGGGGTCGGGTCCAATGCCCATCCCTAGGACAAAACTATGCATTTTAGAGCAGAAGCTTGATGAATAAGGTAAATGGACTTAGGGACTGTTTGTTTGTCTCTTAATGAAACCATTCAGTGAATAAGGTAAATGGACTTAGGGGTTGTTTGTTTGTCTCTTAATGGAATCATTCAGTGAATAAGGTAAATGGACTTAGGGGCTGTTTGTTTGTCTCTTAATAGAACCATTCAGTGTTGAATGTTGAACCGTCGAGCATTCAGCGCATTTGTTTCGTACCTCTGAATGATTCAGTGTTGACTGATTCAACAAAACAGTGTTGAATGATTCAACACAGAAGTACATTCTGAATGATTCAGATCCATTATCAAACAGCATGTCACATTCAGAGCTAATTCATATAGAACCTCTGAATCATTCAACATTTAAATCATTCAACGCTTAATCATTCTGAAGTAAACAAACAACCCCTTAGTGATTATGTAAAGTGTTATTTTCTTATTCCATAATTATATGCATAAAATAAGGTAAATGGAATTAGTGATGATGTAAAGTGTTATTTATTTTATATATTTTAGGTCTGAACAACTGCGTCTACAACGTTTATGTATTGTCAATGATTAATAAATTTTTTGAACAAATATTATATTGTAATTAACTCATACTATTAAAATAAATAAGGTAAATGACATACATAAAAAAAATTCTGCTCACGCATGAACACACTTCACATAATCCGCATAATATATGTCACCCATTCACCGGTGTGAGTAAGCATTCGATCAAATCAAATCGAGTTAAATTTTTTTGAATTGATGAATCTTATTTTTAAATTTTATTTAAATCTTTTTAAGTCGAATCAAGTTTATAAAATCGAGTTGAGTCTAGTTGTTCGAGTTTCTATTTAAATTTTATTGTAAATATTTATAACTTTATGGTATCATTTGATTCTAATTTAAAGTGTCTTCTATAATCATATACAATATACATATATATTTCTTCATAATATGATATTAATATATCATATAGAGTTGAGAGACTAGTCTCGAATTTGAAAACCATCTATTAATATTAAAATTTGAGTAAAATTAATAACTTAACGAACGAGCTAACGTGATAATTTTAATTTTTAAATCATTATTTATATTATTATTTAATCTTAACTAGAAATTGTTGAAAAGCTCTGTGCCTCTGTTAGCCGACGCGTCTACATCATCGTTCTTGCATCCGGATGAAGCTCAAATTTTCAATTCGTACCTTTTCGACCCCAACATGATTTTAACCTCTGTTTCATCAGGAGGCTTTAATCTTCCCAAATCGACGATAGATTTTTGATTTTTTTCATCCTTCAATCTCTATGGTCCATCGTCTGATGGGACTAAAACTAACCTATGTTGATCGACTCGTCATTCTCTCGTAGTCTACCGTTCGTATTGGTCGTCCTTCTATAAGAGCTATCACCTTCGGGAACCCAAAAGTTCACTTTTTTTTTCTTTTCCTTTGTTTTGCTGAATTTTGTTTCCTTTTGATTGTCAATCTACCGGAGCTATCATTGTCTTCATTCTTGAGCTATTTCCAGTCGTTACAGATGCGAAATACCAATGTTTGGTTGCCGACTTTCCATCTTCTCTATTATGCTTGTCGGTGTTGGGTTTTAGGGTTTTGTTGATTAATTAATTATAATATAAATAACAATTTTAAATTAAAAATTGTCATGTCAACTGTCTATTAAGTTTTTAACGATGAGTATTAAAATGAAATAAAACTAAACGTAGGTATAGTTATGAAAGTTTAAATATTAAAACGGATCAAAATGGATAGTATAGGTACTAAACTCGTAGTTTACTCTTTTTGTTTACAGTATTCACCTCAACAAGCCTGAATTTAATTAAAAGAAAAAAAGAAAGCGAAGACTTTCGCATAATCAATAGATGTGATGCTTATGTGAGTCAGAAAAACAAGAAAAGCAAGTGTCATCATCAACCATTATAATCTGCAAATGCAACCACAAAACAAGTAATAGGAAGAACAACAATGAAGAAGTGGACAACTGAGCTGAGCTCAACTCATTAATGGGGTTCTGAAATCACCAATCTTCAACAACAAAAAAGGTCAACTCATTATACACCAAAATCTATAATTTATCCTGTTATTTCATTATAATAACTTCAGATTGTTGTTTTAGCTTTTATATTTGGATGTGTGCCCCCTCTTTATTTTTCCTGGAAAAATGAAGTGTTGGTTTTCTTGTTCATGAATTTGGTAGGAAAATTTACATTTTGGATAGATATGAACTGGTACCATCTTTTAAATAATGGGTTTTTTAAAATGTTTTATTAAGTACAGTTCAAAGCTTGATGATTGGTTGTTTTGTACTTTTGTTTGAATGGAACAGTTGGGATTATGAGAAAATTTTCACCTTTTTGTTGTTATTTTGGGTCCTACAGCACCATTCGGTCAGTAAAATAGTTGACTCCTGCCATGATTTTCTGCATTCGTAGGATCTTGATTAATTTTGGGCCTACGTTTTGTGTACAGTTAAGGAATTAGCTCAAGTAATTAAAGGAATCTGATTCTAACACCCTCACAATCAAATGATTCATTTGCTTAATGGAGATTCAATCCAGCTTACTACGGCAGAAGTATATATATATATATATATACATATGATGTAAATTCATTTGGATGTGGCAGGACTCATCAGACAGATTATTTGCACGAATTCCATCACTGAGAATCTTGTTTTGAATTACTTGTGCTTGCTTACATGGGTTGCTTTTGCTCGAAGAAAGTTCGACGCAAATCTGGGGCCGAAAAGCCTTTCGATCTTGCCTCTGAAACACTTTGTAAGTTAAACAGTGAAGAATGAATCTGTTAGTGCTTTTTTGGGTTCATGTTTTGGTATTTTTTTTCTTTTTGCAATTCACATCTGTTTGAGTCATTATCTGCAATTCTAGCCAAGAAATGCTATGAAGCAAACATAAACACAAGCAGTGTACTTCTAGTGTTCCTAATTTCGAAACTTTCTTCGTTTTAAGATTCGTAAAAGAAAGGATATAGATCATGCTTATGCCACTGCTTATGAGGTTAGATGGATGTTCATTTTTTCTGGTCATGGACCACATCTTTTCCTTACATACCTGCTGTTTGATTCAAAGTCTTAAAGGGGTTTAAAGTTTGCATTTGGTGTGCTAAAATCGAACCCGAAATCACTTCATTGGCATCTTGCCCTGTCTATGCAACCATTGTCTTTCCTTGGATGCACAGCCAATGTCATTGAGGCCACGTCCATGCATCGATCAAGTTTCCAGCTTCGATGCTAATAAATGAATCCAAATAATAGTATAACACACGAGGCTTATAGTGGTTTACTCCGAACATGAGAGCTATCTGCAATTGTAGACTCTGCAGATTTTCACTATGAGTATAATACTATTACAAACGACTTGTGACCTTTGCGTATAAGTAAAACTAGGGTGGTTTACCGTCCCTGTCCAATCCGACATCAACCTTAACATCTTAACATTGTATTCATGATAATTTTTCGGTATAAATTTGTGCAATCTGTAGCATATAATGGCCTAAGTGTAGAGCAATTCTTTTAATTTGACAGTTTCAGTGAATGAAGTAGAAGCTTTATATGATCTGTTCAAGAAGTTAAGCAGTTCCATAATTGATGATGGCTTGATTCACAAGGTATGTCCATTTCACATTGGTTTATAGATTCGATTTTCGTTTTCGGGTTGCCTTCGACTGTTTGAGGCTCTTGAAATTTGAAATATCAATTGAAGTCCTTTCGCCATTTTAAACTTATGGTTTGGAAATGTTTTACAAACAGGAAGAATTTCAGCTTGCACTCTTTAAAAACAGTAGTAAGCGGAGTCTCTTTGCGGATAGGGTGAGTATCGCATCGTTCCAAATTCTTTTGACATTTTAAACTTGCAAATTCTTAATCTGTATTTTGTTTATTGCAGGTGTTCGATTTATTCGATAACAAACGTAATGGGGTGATTGAATTCGGGGAGTTTGTCCGGTCTTTAAGTATCTTCCATCCTAATGCACCCGAAGCCGATAAAATTGCATGTATGTAATGCACATAAAAAATAAATTGTTTTATCATTTATCATAACATCAAAAGTAAATCTTCCATGGCTCTTATGATTGCATCTGAATACTGAAGTCAGTATATATATCTTCTTCCAGTCTTATTTAGGCTATACGACCTGCGACAAACTGGTTGCATCGAGCGTGAAGAGGTAAGTATGTTATAACTTTGATCTTCTCATCATTGTTTGCCTTGGAATATCGGAAAATAACATTGTTCGAATGACAAAAATTCATGCTCATTCATTTGAAGCTGAAAGAGATGGTAATAGCTCTGCTCGGTGAAAAGGGTCTGTCACTTTCCGATGATGCGGAATCGATTGTGGGAAAGGTGCTGGACATTTTATTAAACTGATAAAATTGTTGCTTTTTATCATTATGCTTTCTGGTGATTTATGTTGGCCATATACTCGTGTTTCTGCAGACAATGATGGAAGCCGATACGAAAAGAGATGGGAAGATCGATGAAGAAGAATGGAGGGAGTTCGTGAGAAAGAATCCGTCGATCATAAAGATCATGACACTTTCATGTTTGAGGTGTGTTCTAAACTCTGAAGTTCTTTCATTTTCAACTCTTGTTTTATGATCCAAAATCTTTACCTTTTTCATCACTGATATATCACTCAAGTTAGTGAGCATGCACTTTAACCATGACTTGATTCTTATGTTTTCTTGATGGTACCGAGTCCGGTTTCGTTCATCCGATGGAAGATTTACTTTCTGGATGTTATTTTTCAGGGAAATAACTGTTCAATTTCCCAGCTTTGTAATGAACACCGAAGTCCCGGATTAGGAGCAACTGATAAAGATGACAGACTTGAATCCATTATTTCTTCTGCAACTTATGGATACCCTCACTTTTCCATGCAGGATTCGATCAAATGTTTTTCATGTTGAACTTGTATATCTATGATTCACATTGGCAGAGATTACAGAAACCGATGGAAACTCGATCCGGACAATCGAAAGAATTTATACAATTGTCTCATATTGAAGTAATCTTTTTTACATACTGTTTTGCCACCGTTGAAGCAGTATCATTGCTTTACAGTTCTGGTAACAAATCTCTCATTCAGACTGTAATGTATCCTAGTTTCGATCTTGTTTGTCGGTAATAAATTCTGGTAGCTAGCAGAGGAATTGAATGTTTTCCGAGCATCATCGAAGATATTATACGAGGTTGTTCGGGTTTTGGCTAAAGACCATTGTTTTCAGGTTCATAGGATAGCACATTTCAGTGTGGCGGCTGCTCCACACATTGTCTGCTAGGATAGCATTCACTGCATCGGTGGGATGGAACTGATCCCACCAGATGTGATCGGAAGCGTTACGGCACGCCATTTGCGTTGACATGCACATGATCCATCCGTTATATCTCCCTAACCCACAGCAAGCATTGGCAGTTTCTTCAAACCTGAATAAGAATCCACAAAAACCATCCAAAGATTCAGCGGTAATCAAGGATCTCAAGCAAAATGCAACAACAAAAGAAAAGGTTCGAGATTCGGATGATCGATCGTACCATAACTCTTATGGTTCTGAATTATATCCATGGAACCTTGAAACACATCACAGAAAATTATGCCAGCATCAGGAAGCTCATGAAGAAGCTCATCAGTCATGAATCTCATGAGAAAGTTGAACTCCATGATCATATCATTTATCACTTCAACACACTCCCCATTGTTGCTCTCGTACCGCTGCAAGTAGTACGGAGCACAGCCGATCGGCGGAAGCCCCATTACAACGAATCTCCGGACATTAACGTTGTACAAGTTCTGATTTACCAACACATAAAATGTCAAGACTTTCCGGTAAGTCCGAAATCAATAGTAACAAAATAACTTTTTTCAGCAATCACGGTCGACAAGCACGGATTAAGCATGAAACTAAAGAAGACCCCGATCGTCACCTTTATTTCCTGCCTCATCGTGGACGCTAAGAACTGGTTGAAGCCCCAAGGAAGGTATAAATTTCGCACGTTCGATACATTACGCAAATAGTAATGTATATAGTCGTTTTATCCCGATCGAAATGTAAAGAACTGAACTCGAGATTAGATCGACGGCGAAATCCTCACCCAGGCCTAAAACGAACTGCTGATAAGTATCACCAAACTGCTGGATTTGGTGGGTGAATGAGATGTGCTGGCCCTGTTTGAAAAAAACATATCCTATGAATATGCCCCAATAACACATGAAATGCATCCGGGTTAAGTATGAATAACACAAGTCAATGGAATCATGGAATCAGAGATTTAAATAGCAGTCCGTTATCGGTGACCATTATATAATAGTTTTAGTATCATGTAAAACCGTTATTGTATACCCGCAATTGCCATAACAACACTCGTCATATCTGTAATGACGATGAACGCAACCGCAATTTAAATCCTTAAATGGAATAACTCATATATACCTAAAAAATTATGTTACTTGGAATTCGGGTGTGAATGTCAAATACGAATATGTTTAATAATTTCGATAGAGAAAATTGAAATGATACCAACTCTGATCCGCTTGAGAAAATAATGCCAGCAGCAGCAGATGCATAATTGACTCCATGAACCATATCCTCCATTTCTCCAGTTTGTCCAAGATAACTTGGCACGAAAGGAAGCCCCAGATACAATGCTGATTTTAAAGAAAAAAAAAAGTAACCAAAATGAAGAAAACCCATAATTGATAACCAATCAAATGTAATTCTCAACACCTAAAACAAGAAAATGAAGAAAGATCACAGTTTTTTTTACCGAGGTAATCAACGGGGATTCTTCCATTGCTGAAGCGTCCAGTGGGGAGATGGGTATCGAAATCACGGCCATAAGGAGGGCGGTCGGCCCGGGCAAAGGTGCCAAGGTAGTTGTTGTTGCCACAGTCGACGGTTGAGTCGCCGATGATGAAGAGTGCAGGGACAAGAGGGGAAGAAGAAGCTAGTGGGCTCTCCGGGGATAACAATGGGGATGGAGAAGAAGCTGAAGAAGAAGGTGGCGTTGAAGGGCTATCGAAAATGAAGATTTGATTTGAGGAAAGATTGTAGAGTTCTTGAGGGAATCGAAGAGCTTTGGACTGTGAAACAGTGGTGGAAACGATGAGAAAGATGGCAAGAAGGTGAAGGCTCAGCATTTCTTGAATCCTTCGATGGATTGAAGAAGAAAAAGGCTGCTTTGAGGAAGTTGGTTGAATATGTGGAAAATTGTGTTCTTTCTAAACACTAGACAACAAATTTCTAGTATTATATGGTTGACCGATCCTTCAAATTTTTCTTTTTAAAAAAAAAGTATTTGAAGTACTCAAACTTTTTAAAAATATTAATATAGTTCTTAAATTTTTTTATATTCAATGTGTTCTCATATTTTTCTTTAAAAACTCAGTATATTCTTTAATCAACGGATTTCGTTGTTAACCGTTATAATATATATTGGGTTAACTTCGAGGTCGTTAAAGTTGACTAATTTTGTGATTTGCTCACTTCGGTCATCGAGAAATCTAATGCCGAGAGGCTCTAGTGTCAACCACATTGATTTTTATGGAAAAACGTCCTACGGCGCGAAGATTGATGGATTAAGGCGTCACACGAAGCACTAGAGTGGCTAATCTAATTTTTTTAAACCACATATTTATTTACTTTAAATATGTCTATCGTAGTAATTGCAAAATAAAATACATAATTTTGTTTACAAATACGGGAGCCCCCAAATGATTTAAGTTAAAACTTACAAATATCCAAAACATATCGTTTCGACTCGAACATACAAGGGTCCATAAACAATTCATGCCCACTAAAATAAATCCGAGACGTACTCAAAAGTTGGCGGTTGACTGCTGGGTGTTCTAGGCAATGGCTCCTCCAAAAGCTCCCTCTGCTAACCTGCGCACGGAAATAAATTTCGAACGCTGAGCTCACAAGCTCAGTGCCACACTAAAAACCAAATTATAAAACATGCATTTTGTAATGCACATGCTACCAACATGACTTTAGCATACGAGTATGCTAGACTAAATCATACATATAGAGGTAGGCATCATGGTGTGACTAAGGGGTTACATCTCGAAGCTCACACACTCCTTTATCCTACCTAAGGTGGAGTATGAAATTCTACATTGGAAACTGCACACCCTACTAACTTGCTCCGTCAAGCCTCGGGACATCTATGCCCAATTAGCAAAGAAATGCCTAGTGCACTATCTTGGGTTTGACCATATAACCTGACATAAAATCGTTCCTTCTATTACTAGAGCAGCTCGGGTATCCAATTCATTTCTCAAACGTCACACAAGACAAGTCTTATGATTCCCTAAGTTATAGGGTTTCTAGGTGAAATTTCACATTGATTATATTGTTCTCACATGATACTTTATTAGAGAATTTAAGGATGTTTTGGGTCTGTCAACAATATCTCTAGATTCCCATAATTTCTTATTTAGAAAAGTGCAATGGTATCGATATTGACTCAGTAGTATCGATATTTCCCTTTGAGTATCGATACTTGACAACTTAAATCAACTACGGGAGAAGGGGTAGTATCGATACCCATATGGGGAGTATCAATACTCTACCCTTGGTATCGATACTCCCATAAGTATCGGTACCAAAATTGCATTATGAAAAATTAGTTTCAACCACTCCTTCAGGTATCGAAACCGAGCCCTGAATATCATTACTACTACCCAAAACCTCTTAGATTATTGTCTTGCATAAGAATAGTATCAATATTGTTCCTCCAGTACCAATACTGGTACTCGAAAATACCATGTTTGAGTATATTAAAACCCTTCTAAAACACCCTAAGAGCCTTAAAGAGATCCCCAAATGTTATTAACATCTTATTTGAGTTTGTTAAGGTGATAAGGAGTCAACATACAACTTAAAAACACATAAGCCTAAGATTTTTCATGAATATGCTCATATATTTTCCAAAACTAATGCAAACTAAACCGATGCATTAAAAGGCCTACAAATGGTATAAAAATGTTAGAAATGTGTACCTTGGTGATCTAGCTTATGAAAACTCTCTAAGATCAATCAAGTGTCAACTTCTTTTTTCCTTTTGTCTTTGAGTTTTCTCTCACTTCTTTCACTGATCAAAGACAAAGTAAATGAGTTACTAACTCATTTAGAAGCTTGGATTAAAGTAATAATACTTCCTATAACTTGAATCCACTAAGAAGTAGGTAGAATCACTTGGTGTACTTAAACCTCCCTAAAACCCATTTTGAAGACTATGACCAAAACTTGAAATATGGGGTTTAAATCGAAGTTTTGATCTTTGCTTCGCTTGAGAGAGAAAGAAGAAGAGAAGAAATGAGTTGAAAATGAAGAGTGTTTGGTGAGTTTAAGGGGGAATGGGTACGTGAAATCATAAAATAAAAAGGGTTTTCAGTTTTCAAATTCTAAAAGGGTAAATTGCTCTTTTGGTCATCCTAGAAACTCCATAACATTAAAAGGATCCCCAACACTTTAACACTTGGGCCTAACTCAAGCCCAATCCAGTTCAACTTGGTTCAAGCTATTATTATAGGTCTAATGAACTCTTTTTATAGGTCTCGGGTTAGCCCAAACTATTAACTCGAGATCCAAGGCGTTACAATGTGAGTCCGAGGAAATCGAGCTTTGATAAAGAGAATGGGGTTGGGGTGTTCGACAATAATCTTGTGAGAACAAACGGCGGCCCTTATCCTGCTTCGACTAGTGCTGGGTTATTCTTCTGTGGGTGTATTACTCATACTATCTATCTTGCGTTTGGACTCGTTAACGAACTTCGTCATAGTTGTCGCAAAGAAATCAGGAGGGAAGCCTTGTGTTGCCTACCAATACATGGACAGAGGTTCTGATTATATTTATGATGGATACCCTTACATTGGTAGCTTCAATTGGTTGTCTCCTTCTCCTCATCTTCTTTAGCGGTTTTCACCATAAAAATAAGCTCAGTATAGTTGATTAACCAGAAAAACCATGTCAACGCCGTCGACGTTGAATCTTTACCAGTGAGGACAAAGCTTATGACTATGTCTCTCAAGAATTTCCTCCTCGTTTCTTCATCTTCAAATTTCATCTTCGATGATGTTTCTAACATAAATTTCGACAACAAATCTCGGTTGAAGTGTTTGAAAAACGAGTTACGAGGTTGTTAACTAATTGTGACGTCACCACATCGGAGATGACGTGTTTGATAAACTTGGTTTTAAATTCGTGGCTGGAGACCTTACGTTGATTGGTTTAGAGATCGTCGTTGACTGTGAAGATGATGGGACCAAGGAGTTCATGGAAGTGGTCTCAAAACTAGGAGCCCTTGACGTAGTTTTGAAAGTTGACAAATGGCAACGGGAAGGACGTTGGGGAAGGAGTTGTTTATTGATCGTCGTTGATTTGTTATATACCAGGAACAGGGGAGTACCAGAGGTGACTTTAAATTTTATCACAATTGTTTTCACGCCAAGAATTCTTTGTAGATGAAGATATGTCAAAGAGGCTTCTTACTTCCCAAACAGAGCCTCCTCCATCTATATATAAACGTTGGTTTATCAAGAATATGCAAGAAAAACACTTCGAATGATTGATTCATTGCCAGAGATGGCTTAGAACCAATAGTTCATTATCTAATGGATTTTTCTGTTCTAATACTCCATCCGAGAGTTATCAGTATTTATCAAAATTGCTTCTATCTAACGAAAGGCTATTGGATCAAATGACAAAGACGTTGTTGAGAAAAAGATGACTTTTCCCATATGAAATGGTATATGCTCCAATAACGAATCATTGGTTTAACTGAATAACTAAATAAAATAGATAGATGCAAGTCCATTATATATATATATATATATATATATATCATTGATCAATTATATATGTACATATATATGATGCATGTACATAAGCTTGAATGAATATAAGTTTAATATATATATATGTATGTATGATTTATGTACATAAGTACATATATAAAAGTGTATATATAAGTATAAAGTATATAATATATAAGTATATGTATATATTGAAATAAATACAAGTTCATTTTATTAATAGAAGCTCATTTGTATTACAAAATTCATAATCCAATACTTATAAAACTCATTTGTAAGTCCAATATATAATAAAGTATATATGTATATATAAAAGTTCATTTTATTAATATAAGTCCATTTGTATTACAAAATACATAATCCAATCTACTTATATATATATATATAATGATCAATGATATATATACATATATATGATGTATGTACACATACACGCGCACACATATATATAAAAGTATATAAACTATATAAATATATAAACTATATATATATAGTATATAAACTATAAATTATATATATAAGTATATACATAAGTATATATGTGATGTATGTACACAAATAGATATATAAGCATATATACATAAATATATACAAGTATATACATAAGTTTATATATATATATAAGTATATCATTAAACATAATTGACTAAAATAAGAGATTTTAAAATTAACATTCACATTTAATGACAAGAATTAGAATGTATACATGACTAAATTGCAATGAATTAAAAATTCAATAAGAGATTTACAATTAAACCATGACTGAAGTGAAAGAAATCAAAAACCAAATAACAAATTGAAAATCATTGATTGTTGGAGGAGCACGGGCCTAAATAACCCAAAACATTATATTGGACACTAAAACCAATCCCACCAATTACCACTTCTAAATTACCAAAAAAATCAATTTTCCCTAAAAAGAAATCTTTCTTTTAATCAATTTCCCGTCAAAAATTAATTTTCTCTAAAAAGAAAAACAATATTCCTTTTAAAGTTTTAAATTTTCAATCTCAAATAAATTCATCTTTTATATAAATTTTAAAATTTTAAGTTAAATTATATTTAAATTATTAATTAATTATTACATAAAAAATAAACTTATAAATATTTAAATTAATTTTATATAACTAATAAAATCATAATAAATAATTTTTAATAAAATTAAATAATAATTATTATTAAATTTTATAATATAAGGATTATAATTAATATAGAAAGTAAATTTATTAATTTAATTATCATAACTAACAATTTATTTTATCTTTTAAAATGCAATCATATTATTTATCACTTTATTATAAATTCAAAATCTCACAACTTCATCAATTGTAACTTAAAAGTCAATTAAATATCAGATCAATTCAATAATAAGTCGAATCATTTAAACGTTGAGTCAATTACAGGTCAAGTTCATAGTATGCCAAGTTGATAACATGTTGGGTAATACCACTTATTTATCAGGTTAATCTCATATTCGAGTTCATTTCAATCGGATGCAGGTCGAGTTCGTTTCAATCGGATGCAGGTCGAGTTCGATTATCATATTATCAGTTCAATTTGAGTTAAGGTCATTGTTAAATAGGATGCAAATCAAGTTTAAAATCCACAATTTCTATGTCCAACTTATGTTTAAGTAAACATCAGTTCAAACTCGAGTCAATTTTGAATCATCCCGCTCAGGCCACAAACAAATTCAATTTCAATCAATCTTACAAATCTGGTCAGATTTTTACATCCCTAGCCGACAGTAGACGTTGGTAATGGTACCTATAACATGGCTGTGATTATATCCCACCATCTTCCCACATGTCATCCAAATTGTTTTTGTCCCATTCTTTTAATAATCATTTTACATGTTTTCTCTTATTATAAAAAATTCATCATCAAACTTTGGCAGATATCGATCTGCTTTACATTCTTAAATGTGTGGGCTGCTGCAAATCCTAGTTTTTTTTTACTAACGACGATTCGAAGTTGGGGAGAATATGGCCAAATATTGAAACTCTAACACCATGTTAGCGGTCGCTCTACGAATGGCTAAAGGGCTCTAATTTGATTACAAAAGCCATCATCCGTGTAAAAGGAATAATTCCAAAGTACAAATTCGAGCAAGTGAGAACACATTACCTACAGTTGATAGAGGAGGTTCAAAAACACAACACCGTATGAAAAGACGTAAGGACCTCAGGTCAACAGAACACATCACTTGCCAAATCGCCCTCTTCCCCAGGGCACTATTTGCCTTCCACCACCATTGGGTTGTACATTCTTGTTCTGATGTGAAAATACTCTCATTCGCTCTTCCTTCATGTTCGCAAACAGGGAATCCAATGTTTTCGGCTTTTGCTTCGTTACTTTGTTCTCTTGTTGTTGTTGCTGCTGCGGCTGCCGCAGCGACAGCTTTGCTGCAAAACCACCATTTGCAGTTCTTTGGATCGGTGTTGCCCCAATCCTGCACCGGAGAATCAAAAACCATGAATGGATAACAAAAACGTTACATAATAATGTGGCAAGTCCAATGAAGAATTAGCTTTCACCCAACCAAAATGTTGAGAATTGGGAATCTTACCAGAGCATAAGACTATATTTCCAGTAAACGGAAACACAAAACAAACAATTCTGTAATGAAACTCCCTATTTTCCGCAAAGCCTTTTCAATTTGCAAACATAATCATTTGAGATGGCATTGCTACCCACGGTGAAAAAAGGCTTCAAATGCAGTGGCAAACCTATGGGTAGAACCGCATAGGTATACTCCCAACAAGCAGCAATACCAATTAGAGCAAACTCCTAGACCCCAACTTTTGAAGGAAATAAACACCACTCCGGCATAAGTGCCAAATTTACATCAACACAACATGGATCAACATAAACTTGCAATATTCCCCAACCCAATACTGTTCCAGCTTCATTATCTCCGGCTCATATTTCAGTATGGCACCATCGGCAACAATCGATTCACTTCACCAATATGTTCTTTTTAAATAGTATATCACAGGGTCAATAAAACCAATGTCAATTAAAAGAACATAAAGCTCAATCATAGATTTGGCAGGCTAGAGTAACCCTAGTAAAGAAGAAAAGGATGAAGCATCAACAGTGGACTGGAAAAGGAGGGCTTTCATACGGCCACAAGCTTCCCAACTAGTTAATACTAGTGTAAACTGAAGGATGTGATAGCTCCCAATGAATAAAGCCGTCAAGGAATCTGAAGCGGCCAACATTACTTGATAGGGAGATCGAAATTAATGGTTGACCGGCAAATGGCAATACAAAAGCCATTTGTATGAGCACAAACTACTCAATTAACATTTCTAGACTTGTTGACAAAGGAAATCATCAAACCTTGGTGTCATGCTTTTTTTCTAAGGAATCTGAAGCAGCCAAAATTACTTGATAGGGAGATCAAAATTAATGGTTAACCGGCAAATGGCACAACAAATGCATGAGCAATAACTACTCAATTACATTTCTAGACATGTTGACAACGACAATCAGCAAAACTTGGCGTCAAGCTTTTTTTCCCTAAATCCACCTTCTTCAAACATTATAACCATGTTAAACACTTCCTACTCAATGCTTCAATGTCCCACCCAAAAGGGAAAACCAATTCCAAATTAAGCACCAGTTAACCTGAGAACCTTGCACAATCTAGCATACTACTTTGGGTAGTTGAACCAAAAAATGCCACACACTTCAATATAATCCCAAATTCGGTCTTTTCCACAAGATATGTAATCAAATATTAGGAGTTCCACACAGAATGCAACTTGAATTAAGTTAACCAAGACCACATTCCAGAGGTCATCAATATCATAAAAGATCCAAAATTTACCTGCAATGATTACATTTTAATTTCTAACATAAGTATTCCAGCTATAAGAAATTATGGCTACTCTATTAAGCAACTATTGAATACTTGACATGCACATACCTTGGCTTGTTCAAATTAGGCACCCTTCTACTATTAAAGGCTCTATTTCGAAATGGAGCAACTGCAGTCCTTTGGGCAGCCTCAGCTGCAAAAGGAAACCGGTTGCCCTGGAAATTGGACCTTCTTTGCGCTAGAACCCCCTGATTTACATAAATGGAGCATAAATATAAATATGAACCAAAGTCCAAACGTGCAACCAGAATAAATGCAAATTAATCCACAAAAATGTCAAAATTTTACATACCTGTCTAAGAGAAGACCGCGAGTTCATGTACTGCCGTACCTTAAAAGCCTTGTCTTTAGCAGCGTTACTCACAGGTCTCTGGCTTTTATTCTGATTGTAAGAGGAGAACAGATTAGAATATCAATTTAAGCACGAGGAACAATAAAAATGTGTTTTCCGGAGTAAGAAAATTCTTACCGGCATTCTTGGCTGCTGCTGTTTCTTGCCTTTGTTTGTAGTCTTTTTTGACAGTTTAATGATATCATCTAAGTTAAAAAAAAGGTCAAACTAATCAGAAACATGTTTACCACCATAAGAAAACAATTTGAAGAAAAGGCAGAAACAGCTAAAAGCTCACCCAATGTCATGTCCATTTTCTTTTCCGTGAGAGCGATTGCTTTACTTGTAAGTGGTTTAGCCGCCATCTGAAGATGTAAAAAGGCAATTAAACCAAAACAATATAATAAAATAATTTGAAATAAATCAAATATAAAGGAAATATTTCAAAATTAAAAACGGCCAGCTCAATCTCAGGATAAAAGACAAACGAAAAAGAAGTAATGTCGTAATTTAAACTCATATATGCCACCCGAAAATTTTCAATTCCGAAAACCCTAAAACATCTACGAAATAATCAAACGCAGCGAAGAAATCCATATTCACGAAATCAACATATAGCAGTAAAAAAAACTCACAAATCAGATCAAATTTTTTTAAAAAAAAGAGAGAGATCAAAATAGAAAATAACTCAATAAACAAACAGTACAGAATTTGATTTGCATACGATACACGACATATTCGGTAAAAAAAAGGTAAAGGAATTGAAGAGAGAAGCTTACCGATTCAGAGAATTAAACGAAATCTTCGATCAGGAAAGCGAAACGAATTCAATACTCAATTAAATCTGGGATTAGGGATAGGGCTTTCGAAGGGACCTTGGAGCAAATTTTTTCAATGCTTATCGATTACGCCGAAAAAAAAAGACGAGCAAACGCAGAAGAGAACTCGTTGGCTTTATATAGGGCAGGTGAGGTTGGCGGATTTCAAGCTCCATCATTGTTTTTTTAAATATAAATAGATTTTTCAAGTCCGTGTTTGATTGGGGACCAAGTAATTCAAAATATCCAATACAGCTCAGCATTAAGTTATTTTAGTTCATTGACGAATACGAGTCCGCCATGTCAGAGATCATTAAGTTTGTTTGTTGGACAAAAGTCGAGTTTTCATACGTGGCGCGTTGTTACTGGTTATATTGGACAGCAGAAATAGAGCTATTTTGCAGGACTCGTTAGCCGTTTGTTAATAGGTTTGTTATTCATATTTTATTTTAGATTTATTTGAAAAATAAATGTTTAGATCATGCGAAAATATACTGATGATATACATATATTATTAATATTTGTTTAAAAATAATGATATTAAAAATTAAATTTATTTTAAAATGTGAAATTTTTGAAAGATATATACTTAAAATTTTCATGTTATTATTTTTTAAAAATATTAATGATAACTTATTATTATGGTTTAATTTTAAAGAAAGTCGAAAGATTATGGTTAGATGTGTTGAGTTTAAGATATATTTTTTAACGAATCAAACACTAGATTGAGTCTTAAAAACAAGAAACTATAAATATCGTGTCCAATTATCGTCGATGACAACAATCAATGGTAGCCAGAGATGAATAGCGATTGTGGTAAATGGTAGTCAATGATAGAGAATTTTAATTGATTTTAGGATCAAATTGATATTTTATCTAAAATTTAGATGTTATATCAATATTTTTTTAAAAAATTAAAAATCATTGATATTTTATTTAAAATTTAAAATTTAAGTTAAAAATCATTTTATTAACCATTAAGCTAACAATATTTAATATTTTAGATTGAAAAAATAAAAATGAAACAAAAGTGATAATTTTAATATTTTATTCAAGTTTCTTTTGTAAATAGCTTACTATTTTTATTCAATAAGAAAAATACTTAAAGTTATAAGAAACGACTAGAAAAAATGATTTAAATAGTTAAAAATCTAATCAAACAACTTGAAATATTGATGACAATAAACAAACATCCTTATTGACCATGGATGATAAAAATGTATAAAACACTTATGGTTTGTTGACAAATCGATATTATCATAACTCAATCGTTACATATCTTTAGTGATTATTAGGGATGGGCATGGGTCGGGTTGGGTTAGATTTTTGGTCCACCCGACCTAATCCGAGAACAATGGCTCCTCCATCCGAGATTCGACCAGACCTGATATATAACTTAAAAACCGACCCGATCCAATATAATAAAAAAATATTATTTTTATTCAATAAAACAATGACTTAATTGAAAAAAATAATATATATAGAGGGGTATTATTATAATTATTCCTAAATATATAATGTAAAATTATATTTTTTTGGGTCGGGTCGGGTTGGGTATTTTCACCCTAAACCCGAACCCGACCCGAACATCACATTTAAAAAACCTGACCGACCCGACCCGAACCTAATTTTTTAAAAAAAAACCCGACCTGATCGGGTTGGGTCGGGTCAGAACCCGTCAAATTCGGGTCTCATGCCATCCCTAGTGATTACAGACATTTATCAATATTTAATATGGAAATCCAATGTAAAGATAGATTAGCAAGATAACTAAATAAATTCGAGATATCATCATCAATGAAAAATATAAATAAATAAAAAAGAAAGAGAAGAGGCGCAAAAGAAGAAAAATATAGAAAAGGGCTAGGGCTAGTACTTTACCTATGTTAAAATAGAGGAAAATAGATTATTGTTGTTTATCCATGGAGTTTAGGGTTGAACTTTCGAGATAATGTTCTCGAACAAATTATTTCACGAGATAATGCTCTTCCAATATTAATTGCTCAAATAGGGTGAAATACAGTGTTGGTCGTAGGTCGCCATGCCTTCCGGGCGACCTACTACATGGCCAGCTTCCCGACGACGAACACACAGAGAAAATGAACGTGTTGCATGGCATATGCACGTCCCCAAACATAGGTCGCCATGCAATCCTGGCGACCTTGTAGGTCGCCATGCAATCCTGGCGACCTTGTAGGTCGCCATGCAATCCTGGCGACCTACCCTTGCTCGCTCGCTCGGATGCCCTCGCATAGCTCGTGCGGCTATCCTCGCATGCCCTCACATAATTCGGTCGGATGGCCTCGGTCGGATGCCCTTGGTCGGATGGCCTCGGTCGGATGGCCTCGGTCGGATGGCCTCGGTTGGATGGCCTCGGATGCTCTCGCATAGCTTCTCGGATGGCCTCGGATGCCCACCGTGTTGGGACGTGCATGGCGCATGCAATCTCTCTCATAGCTTCCCGGCGAGTTGCACAGAGATAATGGACGTTTTAACGTCCCCAACACATAGGTCGCCATGCCCTCCCAACGACCTACGACAAACACTGTGGCTTTCACCCTATTTCAACAAATAATATGGGGAGTGCATTATCTCGTGAATTATTTATTTTGAAAGCATTATATCGTGAGTTTTGCCTTGAGTTTAGTTTGAGATAAAACAATGTTGTTATTCTAGAAAGTATGCCTCAAATGACAAAAATTTCAGCAACTACTGATTGATCATCAATGCAAAGAAAAAGATGCTTCATCAGTTGACTCCATAGATCCATCTCTCCGCGTTGCTTCTGTAGTCAACCAGTTCTTGTGGCTTGAACCATAAGTTGATTTCATCCTTGGCAGTCTCCGGACCATCACTCCCATGAATTATATTTCTGCATTCCAAAACAAACCCTCCCCTCCCATTTCATAATATGTATTTGTAAAACTAATACTACAGTTCAACCATGGTCGGCGTCATACCTTCCGACGACCACTGTTAGATCGCCTCTGATGGTTCCCGGCTCTGATTTCTGAGAATCGGTTGCACCGATGAGTTTCCGGCCATATTTTATGACTCCCTCTCCTTCCCACACCTGTTGTGGGATTTTAATTTAGATACGTTGGTAACAAATATAATGAGAAAATGAGATTTTTTTTTTTACCATGGCAATCACGGGTCCTGTTGTGGTATTTGAACTGCAAAGAGACCTGCCTCTCAATCCGAAGTTGTATATGAAAATTTGCGATGAACATCTCCGCTCTCGTATCGATATCATCCTCCGATCGATAACTCGCCGTCCGCAACATCCTATTCGAACATCGACCCAACTCATCATCCGAATCACGGACGTCGTCCACATATGGCCTCAACCCGGCCTATCCGTGAAGCTCAGCCTCCGAGAGACACCACCGATCATGGAAGCGACACGCCATCGATTCGTGCCGAAATTCAGCAACTGTTTAACCTTCCTCACGACCCTCCTTAGGCGGCTAAGCAAAGACCAATTCCCCATGGTGTGTAAATTAAAGAACTTTGATCATACAAGATAATAAGAACAGGTGTATATATATATATAGGTGACAGGAGCACGTTAGATTTTTATGCAAGATTGAGAGTATGTTTGGTCAAAAGTTTGATACAATTCCACAATAAATAATTAATCCTGTTCGAGAATATAATTATATTATATGAAATGACCAGGTAATTTCTTTATTCCGAAAATATGATTAAGAGTATGTTTGGTCAAAAACTTCGTCCTTGTCTTAAAATTCTTATGGGTAAATTATAAATTTGATAATTTAACTTTACTCTTTCTCCTATTTCACTCATTGTATTTTATATCTTTTCAATTTCCTCAATAAACTTTATACATTGGATTTTTTGTTACTTGGCCGTTAAATAGTTAAGACGTTAAAATGAGTTGTTATATAGATGCAAAATGGCGTCGTTTTGGTGAATTTTTTTTAACAGCGGTGCCATTTTTAACAACGTTAACTATTTAATGACGGAGTGATCAAAATAGGAGAAAGAGTAAAATTCAATTACAAAAAAAAAAAACCAATGTATTAAGTTCAGTGAAAAAATTGAAAGCTTTCAAAGTTCAGTGAACAAAATAGGAGAGAGTGTAAAGTTTAGTGATTAAATTTATAATTTACCCAGTTCTTATCAAGAAGCTAAGCATTCTGGAGTCTGCTTGCCTTGAGATGCAAGTACGAATTCAAAATACCAATATGGTTCCAAAAAATATATATATTTTATTGAAAAATTAAACAAAAATAGTTCGTTTAGCCTGAAATTTTTACTGTTGGAATTTAATTGTAAAGGTTAAAGAATATATTAAAAGTACAATAAAATTTTAATTTCTTGTTAAAATCATTTTATTCGAATAATTTCATCTCAATCAAGACTAAAGTATTATAAAACATATATGTATTTAACAACTAAATGTATCAAGCCCTTATTTGTCATTTTACCCATATCAGTTATAAGCTAAATTTTATCAAACAATTCTATATAAACAGTTGATCAAATCAGCTAATCAAATCAGTTGATCAAACCAGCTATTGGAATCAACTACCAACTATCAGTTATTTGCCAAATACTCCCTAAATAAATAGCCAACTATCAGTTATTTGCCAAATACTCCCTAAATAAATAGCAAGTATAAAAGAAGACTACCTTAACTGTCTAATTTTAAACTACTTTGCATTAATAACACAAGGGAAGCCCTACATCATGTTATTTCTTCTTCAGGTTCCCATTTCCATTCCGATTAAGGAATTTAAGAAACAGAAAAGAGCAACTAAACTGTCTAATTTAAACAAGAATCTATATCGATGTATTGTTATTTTCTCTCGAACCCCGGTTTCGGTTGCTTACGTAAATGAAGACGACGCTAGTCCTTCCATCCATCCTTGTTCAATCGTCGGGAGGCAAGGCCTTTGGAGGAGACGCTAGGAGTTTTAGGCATTGAAGGTGTCACCGGTGCCTCCTCGTCGTCCCAATCATCACCCCAGCTGTTATCCCAACCATCGTCAACATCCGGTTCTCTTCTTGCCTTACTAGATACGGGCAGCCCCACGTCTATCCTTTGGTATTTCGAGCTACTTCTAGCGAGTTGCCTCCGTCTAAAGCTCTTGCCCATCCAACACGACACTAACATCAGTATGGCAGCGGCAAATATAAAGGCCGTTGTTGGGGTTAGTGACAAAATGTTTACATAGGACTTGGACAAATTTTGAGGAATCAAATCCTTGAAATCAAGACTGCACTCTCCGGTACCATCCTTTAAGACGATAAAGTTTCCGCTTCCGGAACCTTTTATTGAAATCTTTACCTGCGTAAACACATTCAACGAAACAACATTCAACGAAACAACATTCTTATACAATCAATACCATTAGCAATGCAAGAAATGCTCACAGTAGCACCATCCGGACAGATACATATATATAGATAGATAGATATATACACACTTGAAAATCAAAGATCATTTCAATTGATGAAACATATAAAAGTACATGCAGAAGACTCCGTTCACAAGAGGTATCGGTATTCATTCCGGCAGCATAAGGGTACTTGTGGTATTAATCTATAAAACGAAACAATAACGAAAAAGTATTCAAACAACAAAATGTGCTAAGATGATGGCTACACAAGTTTATCAACTTTCTTCTGAACCCGATTTCTTTTGAGGTGTACTTGTGTTAAATGGCATTAGAACTGATTGCACTAAGAGTAATCGAGACATGGTTAAAAACATTTAAGTTATGCTAAACCAAAGTCGGTTAAACGAGCAACAGTTTGTGATCTTAATAACTTGCAGTATTGTTTACGAATACCTTTTTATCTCGATTCTCTTCGAGTTCAACATCCGTTTCCTCTAACTGAACAAAAGGTGGAGCAGATATTTTAAGGGTGAGAGGCCCCTTTCCCTTGTTCTGAATCAGAAGTAACAGATTGGGAGAATCTGGAATATCGCAAACCGAGGTAGAAAAAGGTCAAATATTGTCTCATGTGATCATCATCAATACTGAAAATTCATCATCAATACTTACCATTTCCTGCAACTCGCAAACAGGCAGCAAAACTTTTATTCATATTCATACACATATTAGATGAATCGCATTCTGCAACTTGAGAGCCATCGTTCCTTGGTAATGGAGGCGGTGGTTGGACCGAGCCCCGTATAATCTCTTCCTCTTTGCTCACTTTCTTTGGACCCTTATCTGATCTGTCAATGTCTCCTCCCTTATCTTTCTCACTATTTGTTGATTTTTCCCCATCCTTCACCGAATTCTTGCCTTCATTCGAGTTTGATTGCTGGTTCAAATCGATTTTACTTGCACCATTATCAGTACCCCCTTTTGATCCATCGATTCGATCTCCTCCATGGTCTTTCCCACTAATTGTATTTCTTTTTGCTTCACCACTCGATTCTTTCCCATCCTTCACCAAATTCTTGCCTTCATTCGAGCCTGATTGCTGGTGCAAATCGCTCTTACTAGCATCATTATCAGCACCCCCTTTTGATCCATCAATTTGAACTCCTCCATGATCTTTCCCACTATTTGATTTTCCTTTTGCTTCACCACTCAGTTCTTTCCCATCCTTTACCAAATTCTTGCCTTCATTAGAACCCGATTGCCGGTTCGAATCAATATCAGCACCCCCTTTTGATCCATCAATTTGATCTCCTCCGTGATCTTTCCCACTATTTGTATTTCCGTTTGCTTCACCACTCAGTTCTTTCCCATCCTTTACCGAATTCTTGCCTTCATTTGAACCCGATTGCCGGTTCAAACCACTCTTACTGGCATCACTAACAGAAACCTGTTTTGATCCATCAATTTGATCTCTTCCGTTATCTTTCCCACTATTTGTATTTCCTTTTGCTTCACCACTCGATTCTTTCCCATCCTTCACCAAGTCGTTGCCTCCATTCGAACCCGATCGCCGGTTCATATTGCTCTTACTTGCATCATTATCAGCACCCCTCTCCGATCCATCAGTTTGATCTCTTCCATTATCTTTAATAGAATCGGGAACAGATTTAGAATCAACTCTTTCTACAACTGCATCTTCTTCTCCATCACCATTTCCCTAAAACCAAACATCAACGAGAAACCATCTTAACCCCCATCAACAAACTTAACAGACAAAATAAACTTAAATTACTAACGAAACTTACCTTCGAATCATTACCAGAGCAACCCACACCAACTAAGAGCAGAAAAATGCCCACCAAAAGAACATAATTCCTTTCCATATTTTAAGATAACCCCACTTTTTTGTGCTACAAAAAAAAAAACCCATAGAGCATAGAATTCATTAAAATACATACAAATCATTTCACTTCGAAAGAGATACACAAAACAAGGCCTGGAAAAAGAAGAACAGAAGAATAATCGAAGGCTTCTACTAACCTTTTAAAACGAGACCTTGTTGGGATGCCTGTTTTGTACAGCTTTAGAGCTCATTACTTCCGAATTGAATTTTCCCATCGAATCTAGAAAGCTCGGGCATTTTCCCAAATGACGAGCTTGAAAACAAGGGTTCAACAGAAGATTGAAGGAGGAGGGAGGGGGTTGTTTGACCGGAGAATTTAAAACGCCATCGTTTTGGTCGTCCCCTCTTGCAAATCGTTGTCTTCTTTTGACAGCTTGTAATTTGTAAAGCAACACCAAACTAGGGTCGAGTAAAAGGGTAAATTATTAGGAAAAATTCGAAGTGTTCGATGAAAATAAAGTAATCGGCTACATATTTACATGACTGTACTGAGATGTTGAAGTCTAACATATTATATTTCGACGTTGAACTGTGTTTTGTCTCAACCTCTTAAATATCTATTAGGGTAAGTGTTTGATTAAATTTTTAATTTTTGATTGAATTTTTTAAGTAATAAATTATTCATTAATATTATCGATTTGTTATAAATTGATCATTCTTCATTAACCGTCGTAACAGACATAATGAAATGCACATTTGAATCAATTAAAACTAATCTGAATTGAGTTAACCGTCATACTGTAGACCTAAATATCTTCAACGATCACCTTTTAACCTTTTCAAGCCTTAATTCAAGTTTTTGTTTTCATATATATATATATATATATTAATTTTTTCCCAAAGAGTTATATAAAAGAAAGAGAAAATAACCTCAGTGACCAAAAATCCCATATAATATACGATTTTAACCAATTTTTTCCGGATTTGCCAAAATGACTAACAAAATCGCAATGCGATCGCTAATTCGCAACGCGATCTCCATTATCGTAAATTCACGTTGCATTTTCGCAATGCGATAGTTGGAAATCGCGTTGCGATGGTCTACAGTGTCGTTGCGATTTTCCCAATTCGCAATGCGAATAAGTAAATCGCAACGCGAATTGGGAAAATCGCAATGCGAATAAGTAAATCGCAACGCGAATTGGGAAAATCACAATGCGATAATACAAAATCGCAACGAGATACTTACTTTCGCAACGCGATACTGACTTTCGTAACGCGATTCTGACTTTCGCAACACGATAATACATAATCGCAATGCGATTTTCAAAGCGCCATTAGTATCCTGGCCAAGTATTTTATTTTTAAATTCCAAACACGAATATTAATATATTGGAACACTGAATCGTCCACAGTATATCCCGTAATCGCAACTCATAACCTAAAACCTAAAATCACAACTCAGTCCCATCTCCATCTCTCACTCTCTCACCCATCTCCCGACGAATCCGTCCCCATCTCCGGCGAAATCCGTCTATCTCCATCTCTCAGAGCCACCCTCACAATCAGAAATGGAAAATCAACCAAATCAACCAACGAGGGTTAGTTTTTTTAATTATTTTCTTTTTGAAATTTTTGCATTATTATTAGGTTTTTCATATTGAAATTGATGATAAGTTTACTGGTAATTCATAATAGATTAACCATTTCACTTAGATTGCTTATTAATCAACCGAGAATCGCAACGCGAAATGAAAATCGCAACGCGATTTTAGTTTCGCGTTGCGATTCTCTCGTTGCGATAGTCATTTTCGTGTTGCGATTTTCATTTTCAGAAACTATTCTTCTTCTGCAAATTGAAACTTGAATGAATTGCATTATTTCAACCAAAAACAAAGACAAATAAGAATTCACAGTGTTGCAATTTAAGTTTGAAGAATAAACTACTACTCTTTATGTTTATTATTATTTTTGGTATATCTTCACAGTGTAGTTTTTGGTATATCTAACTTAGTATGTTTATTGTTTTTGTAGAACTTTTATTCAGCTCAATTAACCTTAAGAAATAAAGTCAGCCTGGCCAAAACAATTGCGTCGAAGCTTTCACCTGCACAAAGAAAAATGTTTGAGGATACTTGCTTCGGGCCATGGCTGAAAGTACAACATCCCGGTGGAGATGCGATGTTGACACACCTATTTCGTCAAACCATGACTAGGGATCTACCAGATACTATACAACGTCGTGATGAAGAGATATGGTTTGATTTTCCACCGGCGTATACGTGTTTTGGGCGGGGGGAGTTTTGCTTAATCACCGGTCTACGCTTCGGACACGATGATGTAGGTCGGTACACTAGACACATTACCCGCCCATCATGGTTATCCCGGGTTTTTCCTGAGCTGGAGAGGCCGAATCTACACGTGGAAGACCTGACGATATTATTGAATAAGAAAGATGGTTTTACTCGGATGGATGACGTCGACGTTGTCCGAGTATGCCTTCTAATTCTTTTGTATGCCGGCTTTTTAGGCAGAGAGGCCAGACAACCTATTCCAAATGATCTAATCAAATTGCTAGAAGACCTAAATGCGTGAAACCTGTTTCCGTGGGGCTCGTATTTATAGAAAGCTACATGGAATAAATTATCGTCTGCCTTGTATGATCGAAAAAGTTTGCATGGCGATGGTTCCAAATACACTTTGACAGGCTTTATTTGGGCCTTTAAGGTAAGAATTTTTATATAATGTTTCCAAAATTATAAGTAATTATTTAACAATTATTAATGTTTGTTATTATATTGTTTGTAGATTTGGATATTTGAGGCCTTTCCCGCCATGAAGACATATACAATAAAAACTTCAAATAATATTCCCAGGGCTATTTCCTGGAAGAGGAAACGAACCTTGCAATGGGAAGATTTACTACGGTATACGACAATAAATAATGTAAGTTAACATAAATACTACCATATGTTTATAAACAAGTTATTACTAGTACACTTTTAACTTTGTTTGAGCTTTTATATTGTTAGGAGGCCAACACTCCTCTACAGAGGCTGACACCCACGGAAGCTGAGCTTGCCACTGATTGGTGGCAAGCTAGTAAGCGTTTTTTTGATGGAACGGTTGATGAGAAGCCTCTACTTCGGGAGCCATCACCTTGCCCAGAGCTATCACCTCACCCAGAGCCATCATCTGATCGACCCGGCTATACACCTCCACAACGACAGCCATCACCTATTCTGTCACATCATCGAGCCTCTTCTCCACCATCACCGCAAGATAGCGACCGCAAAGATGCCACGACGTTTATCTCCCTGTTCTCCACCTCCACCTCAACGGGATGAGTTAGGGGAGTTACGTGATGAGGTCAATGCCTTGCGTGAGGAGGTCGGTACTTTACGCAAAGACGATGGTGCATGGCGTGTTGAGGTGTCTACATTACGCGGTGAGGTAGCCGCTCTACGTGAGATGGTAGCATCGTTGCAGAATGAGGTTCATACTCTACGTAACGAGGTAAGTTTAAGATTTTTCATACTCGTAATTCATTCGGTTGCTGCCAATACTGCTAAACTGTTTTTGTTAGTATTTGTTTTTGTTTTGTTTTGTCTTTTGGTTGAAGTAATGCAATCCATTCAAGTTTCAATTTGCAGAAGAAGAATAGTTAACTTTCGCAACGCGAAAATGACTATCGCAACGCGGAAATGGCTATCGCAATGCGAAATGAAAACCGCAACGACAAAATCGCAGCGCGAAATGAAATAGCAACGACAAAATCACAACGCGAAACACAAATCGCAATGCGATTTGTGTTTCGCGTTGTGATTTTGTCGTTGCGATTTCATTTCGCATTGCGATTTTGTCGTTGCGATTTTCATTTCGCATTGCGATAGCCATTTCCGCGTTGCGATTTCATTTCGCGCTGCGATTTTGTCGTTGCGATTTTCATTTCGCATTGCGATAGCCATTTCCGCGTTGCGATAGTCATTTTCGCGTTGCGATTTTAAGTTTCGTGTTGCGAAAGTAAACTATTCTTCTTCTGGAATGTTTATATATGTTTGTCCTTTTAAATGTTTATAAGTGCTTACTTCTGGAATGTTATCTGAGCATTTTGTGAACTATGATAGAATAATGACTTGGGTGAATACAATGCTAGTTTGAAACATATTTGTCTTTGTTTAATATCATGTCTGTTTATTTACTGATTTATGTATTAATTTTTTTTAGCGGCCCGATAAGGTGGATGCTTTACGTCGGGTTTTCCTTGCACGACGGAGTTCACGCATCAGACGGCGTGGACGTGCTATTACGTCTCCGTTCACCCCAATGGTGCGAAGACTCCGCAAGAAGAAGCCCGACTCACCGGTCATCCCTCAAGAGTCCCCTCCAATCGTTCAAGAGGCCCCTATTCTCCCTCAAGATTCCCCCCCACCGTTCAAGAGGCCACTGTCATCGTTGAAGAGGTCCCTCCCACCATTCCAGAGCCCGATTCACATGGGGTAATATATCGAAGTATTGAGAAACCTCCACCGGTTCCGGATATGATGGATGAGAGTTGGCTCTCGTATGAGTTACCGGCTAGTACCCTTCCGGTATCTGAAGTGGAGAGGAGACAACTACAGGAAACAATTATGGATAATACCCTTTGGGCTAAGACCGCAGTTGATTTTTATCTACATGAGCGAGCCAAGGGTGTTACACTGACATCAGCAACTCAACAATGAAATGTTTTTGTTGCTTGATCGGTCTTGGTGGGGTGTGCTATTAGGGGTTGAAGACAGTGGCTATTTGGATGGGGAGGTAAGTCTTATATTTGTCTTATATATGATTTTGATTAATTTGTTTAAAAATTAATGTAATTCACTAATATATGTATTTTTTTGTAAAACAGCATATCGATGCGTGGGTGTCACGTCTACTAATAAAAAGGAAGCTTAGGAAAATAAAAAAATTCGCTATATACAATAATGCCGACGGCTTTTCACGCAGTTCACTTGAAGAATCAACGAGATGAATCATTTTTGTTGGGCAATGGACAAGCTAAACTTTATCCTGCATGGTGGGAGGTCGATAAGGTTAGTGTTTATTTTTTAAATTTTTTAAAGGTGTTCATAAATAAGTGCGCAAATAAATGAATTATTACTTATGATCGCATGTGTTTATCCCTGTTTTGGAATGTCGTCACTGGCTTCTCGTCCAACTTCAGCTCCCATCCCTGAAGATAATAGTGTATGACAGCATGATCAATTACATATCACTGTCTGATTTGAGAGATATTTTCAAGGATGGAGCTCTCATTTGGCTAAATTCTTGGATGGGATTAAGTATTGGAGTCATTCTGGACACAAGAAGC